TGTCATCATTTGACATTGCTGGCCATTATGTGTGTATACCATTTGGGTAAATTTAGTGGGGATGGATTTGTATTTATTCCTGTTCTCTCCTCTACTCTTGTGTGTTTAGCCCCAAGCCTGTTAGCTAACTCAGGTTAGAGTTTGGTCCATGCTGCAAAACAAAGCTAATTATACATGTGCAGATTAAGCTTGTGACTCTGGATTCATTAGCACTGTGGCTGATTATCCAAAATTAAAAACTTGAAGTCTGTTATCTGGCTATTGATCCCATTATCTTTTTTATTAAAATTATTCCTAGCCAATGTAGTTTCCTTTGCACTTATGTTTGGGGATTCTTGCTAATCCCTGAATGCTGAATGCCTGTTACCATAGTAAGTATTAAATAAAAGAAGATTCCAAGCCACTTAATTTACCCAGCAGGCATTATTCTAAAGCATATTTTAAAGACAAAAGCGTATTTGTCAGGTTGCGTTAAGGCAAGCAATGAAAACAGAATTAAGCTTGATTTGAGCCAATATTGGTCTAAACAAAACTATTTAGAGCAGAGTAGAATAAACATCTTGTTTTTATTTCCTTACTGTGAACAAAAATCGGTTAATCATGACAGATTGGCTTAGGACAAACAAAAGGGATATTTGTAACCATCCAGTGTAGGAAAAAATTGAGAGCCTTAAAGTAAATAAAATGTTGGGAGTGAAAATACCTAGTTTGGCCTGTTCTATTGAACACATTCATCAAGTCAGTACTTATTTACTTAGTGCTTACTATGGGCTAGGTAGGCATAGTCCTAGGCACTGTAATGAAGGAAAATATTTTATTTTTTATTCCTGCCCTTGAGGATCTTGGGTTCTAGTAGATGAGATGGGCAAGGGAATAGTTAGTGTTACAGGCACAGGATGACACCTCAGATCAGCCCCCTGCCCCCAAATTGATGATTACCAGTATCTGCCGTTCATCATTAAAAAAAAAAAAATCAGAAACTTGATGAGACTTTATACCTAAGTGAGTTATTATCAGCATACAGAACATAGACCACTTAGTATGTAATCACCACTACCCACACACAGATTCTGGTGATGGGCTTATATACCATGTTTCCAGGAAATTTAGTTTCCCTGTTACATCAC